TTTCACTTCAACAAGTTCTTTGGAAATCTGTAACATTAAAATATATATTATACTACTAGTATTAACATATATGCATTTAAAACACTAAAATTATCATAAGGCCAAACAAAAAATAGCTTTTGCTTCTCGTCATCGTGCGAATCAGTTTCAAACATGCACCGAACACATTTTTTTGCAATTTAACAAAAGAAGCAAAACCTTTTTTTTTTTGGCCTAATAACATGTTGCAGTAAATTAGCCAGAACACTTTATGAAGGAATTTAAGGCCAACATTTTCATAATACTTACAGATTACACTGCATCTATCCAATGAAATGGCTTTGGTTCTAAATTAACACATATGTTTACAGCTTATGCTGGGGATATATATGCATATCTTAGATATACTTACCTCAATCTTTTCTTCTTCAGCACTGATACTTTTCAATGATAAGTCATAATTTGAATTGACCATTTCTTTCAGTTTATCTTGTAATACTCTGAGTTGATTCTCCAACTTGTATTTTTGTGTCAACCAATCATCCTATATGTATCATTGCATTTTCACATGATGTCATAATCTAATTATTATTAAACATTTTATGCTTTATGTATGTTTACAGTCAATAATGAAGGTTTTGATATAACAACATTATAATAGTATGTTTGATATATTTACAATTTGCGAAGTCAATTGAAAGACTAGCTGTTCTAACTTTACTTATACATGTATGTAAACAAGCCATTGTAACTCAAAGAAATCTAAATCCATTGAATTCACTGTTTGCAATTGTTTAGGCATTTTCAATATCTAGGACGAGGTATGTAAATGTGTCGAAATGGGCGTAGTGCGAGTGGTTAGTGTTAGTAGCACTAATCCGAAAAAGTACTAGATCTAGCGCTAAAATGTACATAGTGCGAGTGGTATTGATATTGTGTTGTCAACGACGTCGAGACATCCCGTAATTTTCAGAAAATAAAATAATATTTACGTAAAATTGTATCTTTCATTCATTGGAAATGTGCTGCAGTGGGAAAATTGAGAATGTACATGAATGTCATTGTCCACGTTTGTCGTAATAGACTTTTGAAAAAACGTGATCGGCCGGGAAACATCATCTAGCTCATCTTTGATGTCGATGATAGTTTGCAATTGCTTACACAAGTAACCAGTTAGCAGAATATGATATAACATCGCCGATTTTTTAACGTGACCATATAATATATGTCTAGACACTTTCTCAGCAATAATATTTTTTAGGAGTCCTTAGGATTTTTTGTTGTAGACTCTTGAAATCTTGTTCTTGTTACAGTTGCTAATAATTAAAACAAGTGAAATCTGTGAAGTTACAAGTTCGTCTGTTGAATTTCCGGTTGTGAATGCGTATTTTATCCCTTCACAGCTAAACAAACCCAGTGCGCATGTGTGATGACCGTAGTTTCATAATGTGGTATATTTTATGGTCACGTTGAAAAAACGGGACCAAGGGCGATTTTTTGGCAGTTTTTAACGTTTTTTTTCCAAATATTTTGGCGTAATTTTTCGGACATTTCAATCTTTCCTGACGCCTAAAATAGTCTATATAAGTTTTTTATTCAAGAGCGTGTTATTGTGACTAGTGTGAATGGGTAAGCTTTGTTTGGACAAAGAGCTGTTATCACTGTAAATAATGTTAAATTATTCTTCTAATGTTCATCAGTTCATCTTTTGAAAACAACTATTTTTTGATTTAAAAAAAAAATTCATTACATTTTACCATCAACATCCTAGGCAAAAGATCGTACTACGACATCGGCAAACAATTAAACAAATTTATTTTTTGTGCGTTATTATAATCACTACTGACTAATATTCAACAATTGTGAAATGCAGCATGACCGGATTGCGCAACCATGATCATTTGCTACTACGCAATGCAGTTGTGTTTTTATTTGAAACTTCTTTTAGAATATACTTTCGTTACCAATAAAATAAAAACAAATGTATTTGAAAAATGACACTGGGCGACATTGTAAGTCGGCGTTGAAAGTCTGCGTAGTTAGATACATGTACTTCAATGAAAATGGAAGTCCCCAAAAAATATTTGATGATTATTTTTTGAAATTTTGAGCCCCAAATAAGTGCCCATCAGCCGTGAAATCCCCAGGGCGATTTTTCAGATGGGCGAATTTATGGCAGAATATAAAGAAAGTATTATTATGGACATCTCGCGCATATTGCCGATGTTTTATACTGTTTGTAGTTTGCATATGAAAGTGGATGCCCCTCCTATCATTCGACGTCGTTGACAATGCAATAACAATGCCACTCGCACTGTGCACATTTTAGCACTAGATCTAGTACTTTTTCGGATTAGTGCTACTAGCACTAACCACTCACACTACGCCCATTTCGACACATTTACATACATGCTAGGACATAATATTACTAGTATTTGTTTGATATATACTTGATTGTAGTGCAAGCTGTATGTTTGATGACAACCATAAATATCTTTACAAGCTTTTATAGGAGGCTAATTAATGCTTTTTATGCTTATCAAGCAAAATACTTGTTTGTGTTTAAATTGGAATGCAAGATGCAGCATTGGATCAAGACAATCTACTACAAGAGTCGACTACAAGAATAAAAACAAACATGGCTGCCACCAGAGTTTGACCAGACTCCACATAAAGAAGTTTGTCAATTCTGTTGTAAACTTTTTGGATTTCAGCATTCCCATGATATATCATTGGGAGAAAAAATAATAAGGTTATTACGCATATAGTATATTAACCGAAGTAAAAGCATAATGATATTTGACATAATATATGAAGGCCAATAATTTATAACAATAAGGATGTGTTATTTAATTTAATATATACTGTGAAATACTTTATTTTTGCTGGAATTAATTTTTGCTGAAAAGATTTTTTGTGTGTAATTTATGGAACTTATTTTTACTGATTTTTGATGAGTTGAATGTAAAATTTATTTTCACTGAATCTTTTTATTCAGCAAAAATAAATTCTGAGAAAAAAGTATTTTACAGTACCACAATACAGTATAGGTAAAAAGAGATGGAACTGAAAGTCATCATCCTATACAATGTAGTAGGTAAATAATATCTAGTGTACTGTATGTTGTAGCTATAATGATTTGAACACTTACTTTGTTTTTCATGTTCTGCTGTTTATCTGCTTTTTTTGCTGCTATGTGTTCTCTTTGGGTGGATAATTGAGTGATTTGTTGCTCTAGTTTATTTATTCTGGTTAGATATCTCGTCAACAGAATCTATTAGTTAAAAGAAATACAATCAAACCTATGAACAACCACCAAAGTGATTTTATTGAAATGGTCTTTATAGACAGGTTGTTCTTATGTGAAGGTTGAATTATTTTTCAAGGATTGCCAACTTATATGTTTGGCCATTTCCTCAGAAAATAAAGAGACGGTTTTGTTGCAATCACATTTATTTGTCTTTGAAAACTAGCAGCCTCTCGGCTGAGATAGCTCCGCTGTTATTAATGCACATTTCAATTAAAGAACTGAAGATATCATCAGAAAATGAACAACATGTATAGTATTAAAGCAATCAGAGTTGCTGTTTTCAACAAAAATTTGAAAATATAACTTTTTATCAAAAATATTCATTAAAATTAGATAATTGAAGAACAAAATCATCTCGAAATGAACAAATCTGAGAGAGGTCTACCTGTAGTACCTATGTAGTTTATATAATATCAAAGCAATTAGCAATTGGTTTTTAACAAGAAGTCGAAAATATCACTTTTTACCAAAAATGACAAAAATATTCACCAAAATTAGAGAATTAAAGATATCATTACAAAATGAACAAATCTGAAAGAGGTCCACATGTAGTACCTAGATATGTAATATCAAAGCAATTGGACTTCAGGTTTTTAACAAGAAGTCGAAAATATCACTTTTTACCAAAAATGACAAAAATATTCATGAAAATTAGAGAATTAAAGATATCATCATGAAATGAACAAATCTGAGAGAGGTCCACATGTAGTACTTACAAATGTAATATCTAAACAATCGGACTTGCGGTTTTTAACAAGAAGTCGAAAATATCACTTTTTACCAAAAATGACAAAAATATTCATCAAAATTAGAGAATAAAAGATATCACAAAATGAACAAATCTGAGAGAAGTCCACCCAAGGTACCTACATACCAAGTATCAAAGCATTTGGGTTAGCGGTTTTCAAGAAGAAGTCGAAAATAGCATTTTTGACCCAAAATGACAAAAATATTCGCTATAAATAAGACAATTGAACATATCCACACGAAATGAACAAATCGGAGAGAGAACCACCCAAGGTACCTTCCTAGAAAGTTTCACAGCTATACAGTTTGTGGTTTTTAATAAAAAGTCGAAAATGTAAAGTTGATGACGGCGACGCCGACGGACAATCAGTAATACTATAAGCTCCGCTCGACTTCGTCGACAGCAGAGCTAAAAACCAAATTGATTCATAAATGGAATGATAATTATTATGTTGGTCTCCAATATATTAAATAATCATCAATGTTTCATAACAATGAGAAGAATTAAGATTACCTCAGCAACTGTTGTGTTTGTTATTGGGTAGTTTTTGATGGAAGATAACTGCTTGGCTATGTACAGCATAGATGTGGTAGAAATGCCAACTGCAGGATAGAAGTGCAACATAGCTGCAGTACAACAATTACCACCAAGTATATCTTGGAATAACCTTACAAATTGAACCTCACTGAAAAGATATTAATACAAACAATATCTTTATTTAAAAATCAACATTTGTGTACTACATGTAAATATAAGCCTGATTACTTAAGGATGTGGTAGAGTTATCATGCTCTAAAAAGTAAAAACTGTTTTCATGGGGAAAAGTGTTTTGAGGCATAGCAAATTATATATTTTCTTGAAGCCCTTGTTCCTGGCTTGATCTGCGACATGTACCACGAATTAGTCACGTGATTACTAAGTAAACATAGAGGTGTTATTTTGAATAAAAAGTGAGTTGTGTATAAAAACCGTAGGGGTTTTGTAAAAAGAGAAAGATGAAAAATCAATTGCAGCATCAGCCCCGTCAATGCCTCGAGAGTGTTATAACATAGATTGGATATTTGTTTACAATGACATCAATTTACATTTTTCCTGTCATTTCACCCATAGACGAGTAATTTAAAAGCCTTTTATTTTTCATTGCGAGATGTTATCAAAAATGCTTCAAGGGTTTTATTCTGTGCCAATACATTATCAATGTGTGTGAATTTCATGAAAGTAGATCAATTTCTGACAACGCACAACTCACTTGAATGACCTCTAAGGCGTCAGATTTCTTCTGCCTGAAAACGCCAAAAAACAAAACATTTGTCACGTTGCGCTAATTTTGGACATTTAAAGCATCAGATGGACTGATTTTTACTACAAAACACATAACATGGAGTCACTTAGTAGCCTTGCAGTATTAAAATCCCAAACTATATAGTTTTGGGCCCGTATTCGTCCTCCAAAAAGGAGCGAAGTTGTTACAGTACACAGCGGCCCCGCATAACATTGAACAGTTAGAGAGATAAATGACGTCATCTCATTATATATTCAAATCATGTTTACATGCGAAGCGTGGTCTGTAAAACAAACGCTTGCCTAGTAATTGGAGAAAGAGGTCGACATGCCTGAACGCCAACCCCTAGTGCGAGTTAACTCAACAACATCCGACTTTTTGTCTTGTTCCAGCAGACACTCGACTTTCACCGCAACCTCGGAAACAGTGTTCTTTGTCGATGGGTGGCCCGGCGGCAATCCCACATAAGACACTAGTTTTTTCAAACCTCACCGACCTCTCCCAACTGCTCGTCCGACCAATACAGATTTTCGGTTGATATTAAATTGTCTGCCCGACTTTTTGGAAGATGGAAATTGATCATGACGAAATTTTTCAAACTTGAAGTGTGAATCCCATTGTACTGTCGGCAATGCATTTCTGTTATAGGTAAAGTTTCGCTTCCTCTGAACTGCGTTTTGAGTTTTTCCTTGTCGTCCTCTTTTTTGTGATTAATCAATCAGGAGCCGGAGTTGATATGACCGCGTCGTCTTCATGTGCACTGTTTCCGTTGTGAAGGGATTATGCAAATTACGCAATAAGTCAATGTTATTGTTTGCGTCCAGAATTGTATCTCAAAAACAAAGTGTACAATATCCCGTTATGCAAGTAGTTTTTCTTATTTTTTAACAAAAAAGGGTATTCTAGATGTGTATCAGTTTTAATTTTTATAAAATTATGAGCAAAAATAACTTTACAAAAGTAATAACAAAAAAAGCAAAATTCACGAAAATAACCGCATCCTTAACTGCATTTAATGCTTCAATAAATGACACAAGACACAAGGTTTTGGCAAAAGTGGAAGGGGGAGCGAATTGCGGACGCAGGCGTCGCAGCGAACAGCTCCATGATGCGACTCGCCTGTGAATTGCATCATGACGCTGAGCGCGTGGTACCTGGTTACAACCTTCCACCAGCAGAGACTGTACAGGCGGGCGTCATGGCTGGCGTCCCCCTGGCGGGAGCTTGCAGATAGACTCACAACCCCAGGAGGATGGACAGCGTGGGTACCCGTGTAAAGTCTGCTTGGTCTGTGGTGGAAACCCCCTTACCTGTTTATTGCTAAGGTGTTCATGAGCAGATAAACATGAGTTACACTTGAGTGAGATCGGTAATGGTATAGCAAGTGGTTATATAGAGACCTTTGCATGAATGGGTGGGTGGGAGGTCTGCCAAGACGATGTGTATCGTACGGTGCGGCAAAACGAACTGATGCTTGAAGAGGATGCGAGCACAGATAAGCAAATGAACAGT